ATACTTAAATCAGGTCATTTTAAAGAATTGGATTCAAACTTAAACTAATGTGATCACATAGTAGTTACTCTCGTTCTGACTTCATTCGGATCTTTGGGGACATATTATGTCCGTGTCTAATAGTGTTAATAATGGCGTGCTGTCGTCCGTGGCCTTCGCCACTGTCCTTCCCGTCAGCACGTCAGATCCACACCACAATCATTACGTGTTAGTTGTGCGCCTCCAGGGACCTGACTGGCTCCTGAATATTGAATGAATGACAGTGACCTCGGTTATCACTGTATCTTCGTATCTAATGTAAACGTAACTGTGGCGTGTATAACATGCCACATCTGTTATTTGGGTTGTGTCGCGTCTTGGTTACCAAGAGATTTATTAGTGCGCCCGGTGTGAAGATAATAGAGTGCAATATAAAGATCAAGCGGCAGCGCTTCCATAGTGTCACAATTATCTTTGAAATAGACCGGTGTAACTTTACTATTCACGGACTGAGTACAGTTTCGAAATCAGTACAGACTGGTCCACGGCCACGGGCTAAAGCGCGAAGAGTAGTGTTGTTTGCGCTCAAGACCAATTTATTGCCGATGAACATATGGTCAATATTTTGTCTCACGTCACAGCGAGGGGGAAAACAAACAGTGCAATGTCAGCGAGTCAGCTACAGAACAGCCACTTGGCCAGCTATGCAAACGCTCTCCGACAATATGAGAAGAGGTCCTTTCTGGGTATATAAACCACATCAGGCTTATCTGTGCGCGCACTCCTGCTCATTTGGAGATATTTTATTAACTGCAGAGCGCGTGCAAACCTCGGTTATAGAAGCCCCCAGTCTATGGTAAGCACCAACCTTGGTTTGGATCGGTTCTATTAATTTTTATACTTGGCCTATGTTCTCAGTTGGTCTGTCTAATGTTTTAAACATAGTTTCCTACGATTTCTGAAGCATATGTCTGCGCACTGCTGCCGGACAGGCCTGAAGCATCCACACTCTTACTTACATTCTGTTGGAAAACAGCCACTTCAGTAACTAAACTGCATGCTCAATATTCGAAATAGAGATGTGCTTTAGGCTATACAACTTGAAACTCAAAGTGTGAATTAAATTACCTGCCGCGAAGATTTGTTTCTGTGTTCTTATAATTTGTGATTAAGCATGTCTAATTGGTGCACCTCCTGTTGTTTCTTAAAGGCACCGGTAGAGACCGCTAGAGCTCTACAGATGTCAACAGCTGTTCGTGTTACGACTGCACTCAGACACAGGCTGTCTTCTAAGAAGCACTCTCTGTCTGTACTTGTGCCATCCACACTTCTCTTTATTTGTTTATGTACTAAATATCACAGCACCAGTGTGGTATGCACGCACCGAGTTACGGTCACTGCTCTACAGAAATCTGAGGTGATTAAAAATTAATCAAGTCTTATACTAGGCACCGTACAAGATGCTACAGCATGGCATGAAATTCGCCGTTACAAATAAACTGGTGGTTTAACAAATAAAGGCATCTCCTCGGGCTGTGGAGCGGTAATCTGACCGTGACGTGTTGGATCATTAGCGAAATGGACACGAATAAAAGCCATATACCCGGGAGCGAAATGGGGTGATTTTCAGTTAAAAACCAAACGGGTTCCAAAATGATTTCTACCCGCGAGGCAATTCTCCCCAGGCCACGGCTTAGCCCCCATAAATAACGCGCGTCCGGATTTACCTGCATATTATATATAGGTTTTAATCATAGAAGCAGGAAATCGCTCTTGTCACTCTGTACATTTATCAGGCGCGCCCTGGAGCAGTCGGGGTTACCTTTATCAAAGCCCAACTCTGCGCCTCAGGCATCCAAATGCACTGAGAGCCCGCGATTAAAAGAAGCCAATGATCAACATTATTATAAATTCTCCCGCGGCATTCTTATTTGTGCATTCAATCGGAAGATTTATTTAATCAAGAATATAAAAAGCTCTTTCTCTAGTTATTTGGGAACAATCGTGGGCATGATTTTTAGGAGGGAATCATAATTAATCAGACGGTGGTGCTTTTGGGGGGTTCATCCGAAGAAATTAATTGTTTTTGGATGACAACATTGTGCGGTAGGCTATTGCAAATCTGGGATCAAGAAGAAAATACGACACCCAGCTTTGTTTCTTATAATTTTTAAAAATGGATACACTGGTGATAGCGTATAATTACAGCCGTCATTAGTAACATCTAAAGGTTATTTTTACGCACAAGGAGCACAGCAGACAGATCTTCCAGTAGATTTTTTCCTGTGCCGTCTTGGAGTGACAACTAGACCCTAAAAGGACTGAATCTGGCAGCGCGCTGCTTTGTCCTTTAAATCCTGATGCATCTGCTGCTGGAGGCCCAGTGCGTCAAACCACACATAATCACAATAAACACCAGCACGGACTCAGTCCGTACTCTCACAGGAAAGTAAAGCTACAAGCAGCATCTAACAAGCTGTAAGCGCAAATATTTTAGCCATTATTGACAATATGTCAATAATATGAATATTATCTGCCTATTCTTCTTCTTCTTCTTCTTCTTATTATTATTATTATTATTATTATTATTATTATTATTATTGTTGTTGTTGTTGTTGTTGTTGCTGCTGTTGCTGTTGTTGTTGTTGTTGCACTTGTGGCTGTATTCTAGATTATAATTACTATATATAATTTTCAGAGTGTCTTGCACTGTCAAAGCGAAAAGGCGCGCGGCCTGTTTGAACTTCCTGAGAAAGTAAACAGGTAAACACACAGTGATAGGCTCTCCACGTGGAGGATGTCCACTCCACTCCCTGCACACGTTCCCCTCTTCTCACCCACTGATCAAATATCCACCCCAATAACGACAATCCTGTGTTGTAACGAGTGTTTCCAAAGACAAAGCCCTACTGTAGGCTCTGTGAGAGAGGAGAGCGTCCCAGGCGTCTTTAGCCGTGCGTGACAACTGTGCAGTTTTCGTTTGGATGCGCTGGGCGTCTTTCTAAGCTGTGCATTACTTGTTGTGGTTCAGGTCAGTAACCTCTCACTCGCTTTTAGAGGATCAGCCGCAGCTACTTTAGCCATATGCGTTAAGCTCAATAGACTCTTTGTGGAATGTTGTGATTAATTCTTCCAGGACCTAGTGAAATATTCACCACTGTTAAGGACAAGATAGAACGAACAAAAATTGTGTGTATAGTACAAGCACAGTGCGTAAAATGTGTACTTCCAAACTGTTACAACTGTGTTTTATTATTATTATTATTATTATTATTATTATTATTATTATTATTATTATTATTATTATTATTGATAGTCTGCTGGTAATGGTAATTGCTTCCCAGTGTGTATGTGCGTGCACGCGCGTGTGAGATGAAGGACTTTCCTTAATATTGTGGCGGGATCCAGGGATTGAATGAAGAGATAGTCCATTGAAAGCGGTTGAATGCCATGACAACTCGGAACAACCTCAGATTTATTCCAAACAGTTAGAAAGCATTGTGCGCGGGGCGTCAATCATCTATTATTTGGGCCCTGAAATAAATGCAAAAACTGCGAATGCACAAAAGCTTCCAACAGGAGCCGGACATTTGTCTACATTTCCTCCTTTGTCTGCAGCTTAGCAATCGGTTTGTATTTGTGTTTGCCCTGGTCCGACCACCCAGGATGCGCAGGGGACTTGGTCAAAAAAACGCTGGAAACATTGTCACCCACATCACATACTGGATAGGACGCGAGAGAGGGAGGAGGAAGAAGGGGAGAAAAGTCTTGAAGGGAAGCGAAAATAAAGTAAGCAACAATGATACTGCTTTTTCAAGAGACAGACTAACAAAGACAAGATGGACTACGTTTTAGGGATTCTGGAGAAAACAGAAATAACACTGAATACACAGACACGATTTTCAAAAGTGTGCTCGTAGTTTAAAATTGTTCAAGGAAAATTCAAAACATTGAATTAGTGATGAAACCGTCCTGCAAAGACCCACCTGTGTTTTTTTAATATTCTCAATAATAAAATAAATAAATACATGTATTATTATTATTATTATTATTATTATTATTATTATTTATTATTATTATTATTATTATTATTATTATAATAATAATAATAATAATAATAATAATAATAATAATAATAGAACCATTCATAATTTAATAGTCACGTCAAGCCCAATTTCACTGTCAGTTCACCTTAAATACAACTGCAAACAGATCCAGTCTCTTGCCTTAAGCCACGGCCAAAATATTGACACAAAAGGTTTACATAAATTATCTGCCAATATTCAACAATAGCCACTCACAGATGACCCAAGTTGTTTACAACGTAATCATCACCAAATCTGAAATCTACTTATATATATATATATATATATATATATATATATATATATATATATATATATATATATATATATATATATATTTATCTAGTCGATCGAATGCGTAAAATCCTAAGACATGAGCACTTTCATAAAACGGCCTTTTAAAGTATTGTGCGTCTAAAGCTACTTGGAGGTTCTTTGTATGTAAATAGGGTGTAAAAAAGGCCCTCCCCGTCTTTGTAATTAATTGACACGTTATACCACTCATCATGCTCTGAAGCACCAATGGTAGAGGCTCGGATCTCCCCAAAACCCACAATTTCACATCTGCAAACACTGTCTTCATCCACTTGACTCCTAAGACCCGCCCACACGTGGCCAACCTTTCGCGTTTTTTAATGCTTTTTCACTGCAGGTTCATGTGTTGAGACCAACCTTATATGGACTGATCGGACAAGGTAATGGCTTATTTCCCTCTAGCACCCAGCAGTAGCACAGTATCCATGAGCCGCATATAGCACTTGAGCCACTTTGGCATCCTTCCTGGACTTACGGACACTGAGACCCACTGCTCGTACTTCGCCTAGGCGATGGTTATCCTTCACAGTGGCGGCTTTCACAGTACCTCAGCGTAGAGCGAGTCTTCCTCTCTCGATTGCTCCTGAAACATTGCCTCTTCTTCTTTTTGTCTCCAAACAGCGGATTCTCCGACGAGCTGCTGCAGTCGCAACTTTTTCCCGCATCTTTCTCCCTCAGCAGAATATGTCGTTGACCAACACAAAGACGGGCTTTTCTGTAAAGGACATTTTGGACCTTCCTGACACAAATGACGAAGAGGGATCTATCACCGGAGCGGAAGAGGACACGGAGGGCTCGGAGACCACATCCACGACAAAAACCACTGGAGTTTTGGTGCAAAGTCCTTTAGAAAACGTTCAGAACCTACCTTTAAAGACACCCTTTTATGACAGTAGTGACAATCCTTACACGCGATGGCTTGCCACTACGGACAGCATCCAATATTCATGTAAGTAACCTCTTAATCATTTCGCTTTTTTGTGTTTTGTGCCTTTTCTGTACGTTCTGCTTATACTGGGTTTTGCAGCCTTCAGTATCCCACCCAAACGGTGCACTTGGGTGGGCATCCATCTGCATGCATCATCAAACTGTGCGGTCCTTGCCTTGTGCACGTACAGTGCTTTAAGGCTCATGTTCACATTTGTAGATTTTATACAAAGTGTAAGATTTAAAAGGACTGGACTGAGATGTTCTAGCGGGTTAACTGTTTGTTAGGTGAAAGTATAGGGCTTGTATAGGACTGCATTCTATGGGGATTTAGGGGCAGACAATGCACGTGTGAATGCTTCACTGGTTTTCCCTTTAGCTGGGATTTGGGGTCTTCCACATTTTAGTGTTAAAATGACAAATTATTACAAAGTATTTAAAATGGAATAGAGACCATAGATCATTTTAACATAATATAGTGGAGCGTCTGTTTACAACAGGTTATGACTTTGTATTGGAAATAACTTTGTATCATGACCAACATAACATTTTGACAGTATTTCTTTCTGTCCTCGGCGCAGTACACGGCCTCTCAGCGAGTTCGCAGGACTCTGCCAAGTCTCCGGAACCGTCAGCGGACGACGAATCCCCGGACAACGACAAGGAAACATCCAGCAGCGGAGGCAGCGATTCGGGCAAGAAGCGCAAAAGGAGGGTCTTGTTTTCCAAAGCGCAGACTTATGAGCTGGAGCGCCGTTTCAGACAGCAGAGATACCTGTCCGCCCCAGAAAGGGAGCATCTCGCCAGCCTGATACGCCTCACCCCGACCCAGGTCAAGATATGGTTCCAGAACCATCGGTATAAGATGAAGAGAGCCCGGGCCGAAAAAGGTATGGAAGTGACCCATCTCCCCTCTCCCAGGCGGGTGGCTGTCCCTGTCTTAGTCAGGGATGGAAAACCGTGTCACACTCTTAAAGCTCAGGACTTGGCGGCCACTTTTCAGGCCGGGATTCCCTTCTCGGCGTATAGTGCCCAATCACTCCAGCACATGCAGTATAATGCGCAGTATGGCGCGGCCACGGCACAGTTCCCCTCAGCACATCACTTGGTGCAGACGCAACAGTGGACTTGGTGAGATAAATTATAGACACTGGCTTTTGGCTCTTTGGAGGCACAAAATAGGGCGTGTCAACAGAGGCAGAGATAAAGAAAAACACAAAAACAAAGAGACATTACATTTTGCAGCTTGACTCATATATATACTCCCATTTTTATCGGGGCTCATGTGTGCGCCGTGTTTACATGTTTTCGTTAAGAGAACTGGCTCCAAACCTCTCCCTTATAGATTTTATTAAATTTGTCAATGCTCTTCTCGTGAACTTTTTTGTAATTGTGTGTTGGTTGTAGAGATGTTTTTTTCTCATTTTTGTTAGCCCACTTTGTTCCCTCGTGTTATTATCGGCACGTACAAACCACTTTGTAATTATAGATAAAATAATTTCTTGCTTCTTTTATGGACCGAAAAATATTTATGGCCATGAATAAACATTGGCAACTTTTCAGCTCTTATTCTTATTGTTTTTATTTTCTGTAAATAGATTTTGGGAGCGTTCGGAACGTCAGATCTGGTCAGAGAGATTCCCAGTTTTGAGAAAGATGGAGAATTCTTGTAAATAATACTGTGGTCGAGAGAAGACTTATGATTTTTTTAAAATACCTTTTTTAATAAAATGTGTGCTTCTGATCATATAAGTGTCTTGAGCTGCTTTTGAGAGGCGCGTAGGAAAACATTGTCAAACGCGCGTTTTGCCAAATAATTGCTCTTAAATCTCTTGCGCACTTAAGTCCGTTTTCAAAAAGGCTAAATTAATCCTGGGAATATATTTTGACAATCCTAACGTGTCACTAATAAAGAAGCCAAAGTCACTTAGCAATGGGACTAAAACCCACTCACTTAGCAGAAGAGGGCTCCAGCACATAAGAAGTCCTTTGAGTGGAAAGCTCTCCTTTTTGTCACCGTCCACGGCTCACCCGGCCTTGGCACATGAGAAAATCGTTTAATGCAATAACTTGTTTTTGTTATATATAAATGGTGAACGAATAATCAATGACTCCCTTAGCTTCTTTGTTTAACAGCGACCAGAGCGCGTGAAATACATACGCCTTTAAGAGCACTAATTGTGTGTGGAATGGATCCTGCATCAATAATATTGCACCGCCTAAAACGCATGCGACATAAGTAGACTACTGGAGAGATTGCACAGTATCTTGAGTAAATATGATAACACGGTTGAAAAATCTATGCATTTGTCCAAAACACAATCTCTTGACAGATGCTAGAGTCGCCCCTATCATCGGCGAGCAAACATCTAAATTAGGCGGATTTGCTAATTATTTACAGAACTGAATCTCAAGGGGCTACTGCTTTTAGGCACAAAGGCTTCTGTGTTTTACCACTGGTTGAGCTTCTAGGCCAAAGCATTACGGACGTGTAAAAATAAAAGAAAGTAGACTATCCATTTATGCTCGCGCAGTAATATCATACATATCATACTTCATTAATCACTAAAATGTTTTGATATTTTATTAACATTCTATATTATGGGGGACACTTCATTTAAAGCTCCAGCTCAAATGTTGTGGTGCGTAATAGTCGTGCGTGAACACATACGCAGCACTGCGGCAGACGCGTAAAAGTAAGATAGTGAGTGTTTGTCAGCTCTGTCCAGATTAGGGGACTTGTATCCTTGGGGGTTTGTCCTGCTTGTCACTCGGTGCCATTGTGGTGTTTACTCCACGCGTAGTGTCCCATATGGGCAGCTGGTGTGACGGTGAAAAAATGGGGATCTCTTACAAAACCCCAAATTGTATCGAGCTCTCAAATAAAGCATTGTTGTCTCTGAAAGAAAAACGAATTAAAAATCAGTGCTATATCTATCCGCGTCTGGAAAAGAGGCCCTATTCACGGACAACAGGCAGTCCTTCTTCCTTATAGAACTATGCCAACAACAGCCTTCTCATCACTGTTTCCCCTCAACAGTCAAAGGCTGACTTTTTCCGCTTTCCAAAAGTGTCTCGTCACTGCGCGAAAACTATTTTTAAAACTGGGCAGCGTTTTCCTTGTTTGCTTTGAGTCGCACTGAATTCCAAACGTCTTTTTTTTTACGAAGATATGGAAATATTATATTAATCATAATCTGATTTTGGTATGCAAATATTTCCTGCTTTAATATCGTAGGCTATTTTATTATTTTATTAAATTTTATTTTTAGTTGTATTATTATTATTATTATTATTATTATTATTATTATTATTATTATTATTATTATTATTATATTTTAACGTTCAAAAAATGTCTTAATTTTAAACTTTTTTTTTTAACCACAGCTTCTCTCAGTGTTATGTTGACAGCAGAAAATGACACTGAATGCCTGGAACAGATTGCTTCACAGTGTTGTCTTGATGTGAAATTGACTCTGTGCTACTCGGAGGATAAAGCCGTTTCGTTAAAACAGGCATGTCTGCGCGTGGCACAGTTCAGCACGCGTGGATAACAATGTCACGGGTAAAAAAAAAAAACAATACTGCAAGCACCCGGGACACCACGGCTCCTCCTCACCATTATCCATCACCTTGCCCCGTTTGAACTTCGACATACATCATTTTTCTATCACGCACATCGCTAAATAAACGAGGATTTCAAAGCTATAATAAGCGACGCGTTTCATTTGAAAGGAGGCTATCTGGGTTTTATTGCCTTAAAGGAGATCCAGATTAGATTCGCCACAGTGCTGATATTAAACAGAGAGATGAGAGTGTTGGAGGGAGGGCGAAGGAGTGAAGTTGTGGATGTTGCAGAGAGTGGCCGCTAGATGGCAGCAAACGCTCACACATGTAAAGTGAAACACTATAGCGACAACCGCTTCTCTACTCTCTTTAACTCAACATACCACTGATGGCTCTCATAATTGCTGCCATGAAATGATAAAATATGCCTGCGTGTTGTATCCGCGTCTTTCTCATTTTCTTGTGTTGAAGCATAAACTGTGGCCTGCTTCAGAAAAGAGTTGTCTTCCTAATCTTAACATAGTTTGACATAAAAACACAAGTGAATGAGGAAAGGTTCATCTCTAGGTATCCACAGTGGGGCGCAATAGGATAAGACACGCACTCTACGGGGCGCACGGACATGACAGTCAATGCAGTAACAAGGAACAAAGAATTTGAATAGTCTATACAAGGTTTTATTTAAAAAATACTAAAAAACAAAAGTTTTAAATTGTTGTTCATATTAAAGGTGCGTTGCGTGACTTTTCTGGTGTTGGTCCGTCACCTGTTTGTCTTCATGGAGATGTTGTTGCTTTGGCTGGAATGTTCCATGGTGTGACATTAAACACATCTGTTGAGCATTTATTCATGACGAGTGTTTCTATTGCTGACAAATACAATCATTCTGTCTCTGAATAGGGTCGCCTCTCCATAGATCTGACCTGTGATAAAGCCTATAGTTGTATCCCTTGAGGTGTAGGTTTAATTTCCACTGTGGAACATTCTAAACAAAGCAATAACATCTCCACGAAGACAAGCAGGTGACGGACCCTACACCAGAAAGTTGCGCAGTGCACCTTTAATACAATCGTTGAGTTAATTAGGATTAGATCCCAGTGTAACAAAAGGACGAAGACATGTGATCAGCAAAGCAGACTTTCACGTGGAAAATGCAATTGTAGCATCTATTTTTAACATGTCCAAAACAAAAAGACATTTTCTGTCATCCAAACTCAAATTATTATTATTATTTTCATAATTTTATAATCATCCGAGAATTCTGTCAGATTCCTAAAACTCAAAGGTGACCCTCTCCAGGCTCCAGCTCACGTCAGTATGACACATTCACTTGAACATCAGTGTGTGTAACCTGCAGGGGGCCTCGTTGGTTTGAAAGAGCCTCCAAAACCGGACTGCAAACGGCTGGAACAAGTTGCCCGTGCGAATCACACGCTATAGGCCTGTAAATCACCACAGAAGAAGAATGTGCGATGGTGGTTGATGATGAGATTTCTTTGTTTAAGAATCCAGGAGAATGCTCCGGGAGCTCTGTGAAGCCCGCACTCTTGACAAAATATGGCTTTATGAAAGAAGAGTTGTGATCATGAGGAGCTGCAACTTTGCAAGCCAACAGATGTAGACAAAAGTGCCCATAAAGTTAACGTGTTGAGACAGAAAATGTGATCTATCTTTTTATTATTTGGCCTAATGTAGCCTAAATGTTTTCCCTTGCGAAAAGTTTGTAAGCATAAAATACCAGGGTTTCTATTTTTGCCCAGTGAATGGGCTATCCTGTTTGGCCTTATACACACTAATACACATATTTCCTTTGTTAAAGTGAGTGCCAGGGCTAATGAATTTTAATGTATGTGGTTGTTAAAGCTTATATTTCATTGTTTTACAGTAGGATATTTGTCAGTAAACTTCACAGTACATTTATTACACAGATTTGTTCATCCAGTCATGTAAAGTCCACTTTGTGTAGCCTGCTGCACAATACAAATGTGCAAGTTCAAAGCGAGCATCATAAAAGAATAGAGCATAAAGGAACTTTGAATGTGGCGTGTTTATGACCCACACATACATGCACTGTTACAGCTCTGGCCTCTGTGATCACGGCTCCCTCCCTTCTTAGTGTCAGCAAATGAAGACCAGCTCAGAGACACATGAAGTTAAGTGACATGTGAGAGCAAATGTCCAACAGAAGAAAGGCAAACTAATGGTACTTTTTAAGGATGGATTAGACTCGAGGGATACACAGTATTTATTATTATTATTATTATTTATTATTATATTATTATTTTTGAATACACTAGTAGCAGCAGAATAAAACTGAACTGAAGTAAATCAAACCTCATTGGAAGAAACTTTCACTCACTAACTCAAGATATAATTGGTATTATATGTATATGTATAATTATGACCTACATTTGATACAGTGCATTTCAACAAACTCAGAGATGCTTAATAAAGAGCATAAGGTTGGTATTAATTATACTCCACCTTTCTTTCTTGTATTTTAATAAACAAAGGGGTTTTTTGATAAAAAAAAAAAAAAATCACTTTTATTTTATCTGATCAAATATCAAAACATATCCAGTGAGAGCAGATGTGCGTGAAATGTCATGTCACCTGTAGCAGAACATGCTGTAAGATTCATCTATAGTGAGCGTATATTTATGCATAGACCAGTAGAAGTCTGTTAAGCTTCCTGTTTAGAATGTGACTTTCTTTTAGCTTACTTTTCATTACCAAGCAAGAAGCAAGAATAGAAAACTTAAAGAGCATCCATTAGGAGTTTACATCTCCTTTTACATTTACACTTAGTGCAAGTTGCTGATACTTTTTTTCTGTAAGTGCATTGCAATGGGTGAGACATGCTGATCATGCATTTTTATTATTTTTCGCTCAAGTGGTCTTAGTTTAAAGTAGCAGTGTCCCATGTGGAGACAACTTTCTGAAAAAAAACAAAACAAAAAAGTAAATGTTAAGGTTCTTGACCAGAGATTAGGCAAAGCGCTGAGTGTGCAGAG